CTTTTCCACCCCAGTTTTCAAGAGAAATGAAGAAAAATCAAATTTTCAATTCTAATAATTTATACAAATGAACAATATCAGCAGTATGATATCAGTGAACAATATTTACAAATTATGTTCATCTAGCATAGCAAAATAATTATTTCGTAACAAACAGTGTGGAATCAGTGGATAAAATCTCTCCATTGTTCATCTATCACAACAAAATAATGATTCCGTGGGNCTTTTCCACCCCAGTTTTCAAGAGAAATGAAGAAAAATCAAATTTTCAATTCTAATAATTTATACAAATGAACAATATCAGCAGTATGATATCAGTGAACAATATTTACAAATTATGTTCATCTAGCATAGCAAAATAATTATTTCGTAACAAACAGTGTGGAATCAGTGGATAAAATCTCTCCATTGTTCATCTATCACAACAAAATAATGATTCCGTGGGAAATTTGAACGAAAAGCCAGGTTTCTCTGCACAAAGGAATGTCGACCGGAAATATATAAAGCTTTCGTTAAAACTTGTTTTCGTACAGTTTACAAGCGTATATCGTGCCAAATGGAACACAAGCGTTCTTTGTGTCCAATTTCGCATTTACAAGCGATTAAAGTTGTACAATGGTATTTATCGTTCGCTCGACGCGCGACGATCGCCGTGACGAGCAATAAGTTAGATCAATGAATAGGACTGTGTGTGCAACGTACTTGATTTCTTATCCTTTTTGCCCGCAGAGCCGTGTAGTGGTTCTGCGAAGTCAGGCGAAATACGTCTGCCGTCGGAATTTCGACGGAAAAAGATTGCCACTCCTTTTTCTCTTTTTTTTTCCAGTTCTTTTTTTGTTTTCGTATCGATCACCGTTTGTGGCATAAAGGCATAAAGGGGGTCCAGTATTCACGAAAGGATGCGCAAAAAAAGGGCATTTCAATGTCGAACGTACAGTACAACCGAGAATTGCTCGAGAAATATTCGTATAAAAAGTGTTCTCGCTCACGGTCGTTGGACAAGTTACATATTGCGAGCTCGTAAAATTTTTTCGGCAACCGCAAGGTCCTTTTTCACATAAAGATGCGGGAAGGTCTCGCAGCTGGTCCAAGCCCTTGAGAGGTGAATGATTGAAAGTGGTGTTCCATTAGTTCGTGCGTTGTTTTGTTCCAACATTGTTTAACTTCTGTGTTATGAAATTAACTTCTGTATTAGAAAAATTAAAATAGATATTCTGTGCCGGACTGTTTTAACAATGTGCATGAAAATAAAATTCAAAATGTAGAAAATGAGAGTAACCAAACAAAATACAATAGATGCGATTAAATTGTATATTTACTACTATTGTACTAATTGTATTAATTGTATTAATTTAATTACTAATTGTATATTTACTATAGTTATAAACTCCATAAAGTAGTTTCTAATAACTCGGAAACACAAGTTGGTATTTTAGACTTGAAATACGAATTACTATGAGTCAATAAGGTGTCTTAGAAAAAATTGTATTCAGCTGTGATAGTTTAGTTTCATATCTTATATAGTTTAGTAAAATAAGATTGACACTGTACTTGCAACCAACATGATAGTATATAGTCGTAATTAAATTGTATGATAAATCTATTTATAAAGTCCACATAGAATAGTTTCTGTTAATTTTGGAACAAATTTGTATTTTGGATTTGAAATAGAAATTACTACGGGTCAACAAGATTGGTTTGATTTAATGGTGGATAACTTATCTTTGCTTAACTATGGTACCTTACTGTGTGTTCCTCGAATTTCTTTACGTTTGCCCGTGTCTTTGATTTAAATATATAGCAAAATACGAATTAACGTCTTCAAATAAATACAGTAAATCGATAACAAGATAATACACTTGGAATTTTGAAGACGTCAATAATAATAATAATAATAATAATAACGATAATAATATTAATAATATATATAATAATAATATTATTATTATAATATAATAATATTAATAATATTAATAATAATATTATTATTAATAATAATAGTAATAATAATAATAATAATAATAACAATATCCGCAAGTTCGCAGTACAGTATTTCATAACACGAGTTCTCATAAAGTTAACGAAACTTCACCAGAAACTATAAACTTTTATAAACTTTAACTATCTGGACTCGAGTGGCGACTCTGAGGCGCCACTAAAAATTGCTGTACCACGTTTCAATATAAAGTTGACAGAATTTTGGTTCATGCAGGGCGAATCACCCCACATTGCCATCCAGATTTACGGCATTATTGTTACGAGTAGCGAAAAATGTTTCAGATAAAATCAGATGGTTTCGACAGGGACACGTTCTGGTGATACTAGTATTCTTGTATGTGACATATCAAGGTCATTCAAGTATTTTTAAATAGAATCATATATTTTTCATTGCATCAGTTGATACATCTTGATATATATTACAAAAAGTATTAACTTATTTATGTTAAAAAATCATTATTTCAGAAGACCTACCTTGTATATAAAGAAAGTAGTTAAAAGTGTTGAGCGGATACAATAAAATATATAAAATAAAAATGCTGTAATTCAGAAAATATGTTTTGGTTTTGTAATCAAAATAGCTTCGAGCGCAAAGGGTTAACTAATTCAACGTAAATATTCGGGCAACAGTTCGATATTTGGACATGTTCAACGAAAAAGTATTTGGACGTACGAACGAACACGCGGCACTCAATTTTTATCTAGAAAGTTTAATTCGTTGATAAGTCGAAAAGTAATCCGACAGAATTTTGATTACGATGTTTACGTTCGCGGCCGTAATAATGAATTCCGACATCGTAATACGTGTAACGATATAATTAAATCTGAAATCGCGAGCAATAGG